CTGTCCGAGCGCCCATGCAGTGGGTCACCCGCTGACTTGCAGGAGTGAACTGGTGAACCTCTGCATCCTCTAGGTGAGCACCACTCACCAAGTTCGTAGAGAACGAGGGGATGTAAGGACCAGACAGGGTGCTAGAGGGGGCCGCCGGACACGGGAGGACAGTGGAGAAGTGAGCAAGGATAGGACCCCCAGAGGGGTCTGCCAGGGAGACTGTAACTGGCCGACCAAGCGGCGTGAGTGTGGTGCGGTCTGGAAAGAAGGAGCGAGAAGCCCCCGAGTCAAGTGTGAAGGTGAGGGAGGCCGAAGCCGACGCAGACTCACTAGCACCGGAGGAAGCAGACGCACCAGTCCTGGAGGAAGCAGACGCAAAAGCACTTAGAGCAGCAGCCTCGCTAGCACCAAGAGCAGCAGCCTCACCAGCACCTAGAGCAGTAGTCGCAATGCCCGGGTCGGGCGGGAAACACCGATAACAGTCACCCTCCTCACTAATAGACACAGTATACATAGCAGCAAGAATAGCATCTAAGTCAAGGTCAAAGATAGCTACCCCTGCCCTAGACAGCTCGCCCCAGTGAGGGATCTCAATGGCCTCAGGGAACTGGTGACGCCAAGCGTCCGTCAGTCGGCCAAAGCAGCGCTGGGTGGGGTGCGCACCCCCACACTGCTCACTCGCACGGTCGCCGGTGCGCAGGACGTAGGTGCACGAACCAGTACCCCCACCCCGCTGGCGTGTAGAGTACCACTCACGGAGCTGTTGAGGGGACAGGGTCTCCCGACTGCTCTGCTGCTGCTAGCGCTGACCACCACCGGAGCCACTCCTCTGTGAAGAGCCATGACCTCCTCCTCCTCCTCCTCCTCCGCCACCGCCTCCTCCACCTCCGCCACCTCCACCACCTCCGCTCCCACCGCCACCGCCGCCGCCGCCTCCGCCTCCACTGCCGCCGCCGACACCTCCACCCCCGCCACCACTCCCACCCCCACCCCGACCCCCTCCACTGCCTCCACCGCCGCCTCCACCGCCCCCGCTAGCTCCTCCAGCGCCCCTGCCCCCCTTGCCCTTGCCAGAGCGACGCTTCCCACTAGGGGTAGACGCCGCACCAACCGACTCCAGACCAACGAGGTCGGCCGCAGCGGAAGAGGCGATAGAGGGCAATAGGGGGGAAGGAGAACACCCCTCAAAGATGGGGGTGCGAGGGTCACCACGAGAGGCCCCTACAGCGACTCTGCTCTTCTCTGCCGCTAGGAGGGACTTCTCGAGGAGGTCTACAGTGAGAGTGGTGGGACAGACTGAGAAGAAGTGGTCCCTGACTACACGAAGGGAGTCAGGGAGACGAGTGACTATGAAGTAGAGAGTGATGTACATGGGGGGGGGGTTCTCGGCGCAGAAGTCAGCAGGGAGCGCAGCGCGGTAGCGAGTGTCACTAGTGCGGAGGTGCGTAATGAGGTCAGCGACTGTGGGAAAGGCAGCAAGGTCAGGGAAGAGGTACGGTAGCATGAGGCGGCTCAGTGCAGCTCTGGCAGGGGAGGAGTAGCGTGCAACTACAGCGTCGTACAAGGTCTGAGCACTCTTGTACTGGCTAAAGTGCGCACGCTCAGAGGTAGGAAGGTGGCGACGCACAGCAAGACGTGCAGCAGCATCGCGCGTGGCCCACTGTGAGCGAACAGTGGCGTCAGCATCAGCAGCAGGGGCAGGAGAGGCACCAGAGGTGAGGTCAAAGAGAGAGAGGCTGTCTGCCCTATCGCACTGTAAGAAAAGCTGCACGTCATCTATCCCGACGTCAAAGTCAATGGCCCTACCCTCAGCGTCAAAAGCGAGGACACTAGGGGTAGCCATGTCAGAAGTAGACTAGCAGCGCAAACAGTAGGGTAAGGGCAGTGCGGAGAAAGAGGCGCTGCTCTTACCGGAGAGGGCGGCTCGAGCGACTCGGTGGTGCGGGCGGCTCGGCTGCTGGGCGGCTCGGCTGCTGGGCGGCTCGGCTGCTGGGCGGCTCGGCTGCTGGGCGGCTCGGCTGCTGGGCGGCTCGGCTGCTGGGCGGCTCGGCTGCTGGGCGGCTCGGCTTCTGGGCGGCTCGGCGGCTGGGTGGCTCTGCAGCTCGGCTGCTGGGCGGCTGGGCTGCTCGGCGGTTCGGCTGTAGGGCGGCGCGGCTGTCGCCTGCTCGGCTGGGTATGGCGGTTGGGGCAGCTTGGTTGGCAGGCGGCGCTGCAGCGGGCGACGGGGCCGCAGGTAAGGGCGGCGAGGCCGCAGGTAAGGTGGCGGGGCCGCAGGTAAGGTGGCGGGGCCGCAGCGAAGGGCGGCGGGGCCGCAAGTAAGGTGGCGGGGCGGCAGGTAAGGTGGCAGGGCCGCAGCAAAGGGCGGCGGGGCCGCAGGTAAGGTGGCGGGGCCGCAGGTAAGGTGGCGGGGCAGCAGCGAAGGGCGGCGGGGCCGCAGGTAAGGTGGCGGGGCCGCAGGTAAGGTGGCGGGACCGCAGCGAAGGGCGGTGGGGCCGCAAGTAAGGTGGCGGGGCTGCAGGTAAGGTGGCGGGGCCGCAGCGAAGGGCGGCGGGGCCGCAGGTAAGGTGGCGGGGCCGCAGGTAAGGTGGCGGGGCCGCAGCAGCAGGCGACGGGGCCGCAGGTAAGGGCAGCGGGGCCGCAGTGAAGGGCGGCGGGGCCGCAGTGAGGTGGCGGGGCCGCAGCGAAGGGCGGCGGGGCCGCAGCAAGGTAGCGGGGCCGCAGCAAAGGGAGGCAGGGCCGCGGTAAGGGTGGCGGGGCCGCAGGTAAGGGCGGTGGGGCCGCAGGTAAGGGCGGCGGGGCCGCAGGTAAGGGCGGCGGGGCCGCAGGTATGGGCGGCGGGGCCGTTGGTAGGGTGGCGCGCCCGCAGGTAGGTGGCAGGGCTGCGGGTGAGGGCGGCGCGAGGGGCCGCAGAGGTCAGCGGCGTGCCGTTGCGGGCGGCGCAAAGGCGGCGACGGGCCGATGAGGGTGGCGACGGGCCGAGTAGGGCGGCGTCAGGCCGCGAAGGGCGGCGACGTGCCAAGTAAGGGCGGCGCGAGGGAGGCTGCTAGGGGCAACGCGACGGGGCCGAAGGAGGCCTAGGTCGGGCGCGACGGTAGAGAGGGCACACGAGGCGCGACTCGGGCCTAAGCGAAGTGCGCTCCGGGCAGGAAAAAAAAAATTTCGACTTGGTGGGCCCTAGGAACAGTTCCCACAAGGGAACCTGCTCGATACCATGAGAAGAAACGAGAATGAATGACTAAGGAATGAAAGTGATACAAGTATGCAACCTTAGAATTGTGTACCCTATATAGGCTACCCCACTACAGCCTACACAACATTATAATTTGACACTCGGTAGTGCCGGAAACTCGTTTGCGCTCTTCGTTCGAGAAACGTTTGAGACTGAGGGTGAGGGCCAGTTTCTAGGAATCCCATGATTCGGCGGAAGGGCGTGACGGTAGGGAGGAGAGGTGGGATTCGATTATGGTGGCGACTTGGGGCCGGGGTAGGAGGGAAGAGCTGAGGCGCCATGGCCGCGGAGCGATGGCCGGGTTGTCGAAGATGAGGGTGCAGAGGGGGGCAAAGGAGTGATCAGAAACGTCTTCGCGGGTCCAGAGGTAGGAGGTTTCAGAGGTCCGTGGAAGGAATGGACTGGAGAGGTAGATTCGGTCTAATCTAGAGGCGGGTGGGAGGGCTGAACCGGTGCTGACCTGGCGGCCAAAGTAGGAAAACACGGGGTTGACAGGGTGGAATGAGCGGTACAAGTCACAGAGTGCATGCGTCGACAGAAGGTTTGACACTAGAGTGGCCTCGCTAAGTTCATGGCCAAGCAACGAGCGGTTGCGGTCTAAGGGGGAGACTACCAAATTAAAGTCACCAGCGAGGATCGTAGCAGCGGCTGCGGAGGGTTGTTCCAGTGCAGGGGTCAGGATGGACCTCCACCAGATCCGACGGTCAGTGGCCGGTCTCGGCACGTAGATAGCAATGAGGCGCAGTTGATCATGCAGGAAGTTAATGTGTACAGATAGGAGGTGCCCATCGGCGGAGGGGGACGGGGAGGTGAGGGAAATTCCTCAATTGACGATAGGATGGAGACGCCGCCAGGTTGTGGAACTTATTGGCCTTTTGAATTCTTTGCGTATAGGGTGGGGGCGTGAACCGAGAAGTGTGGCCGGAGTTGGAGGGATAGCCGAGGTAGGTTTTTTTAGAGGCGCGTGTCCACCAAAATGAGAATGTCAGTGTGCGGGGGAGACTTGGAAAGCCAACGTTTTAGAGCATTACGTTTAACCGGTGTATTGATACCATTGATGTTCAGGCTGCGTACCCTTAGGGGGGTTAGCATTGTGCTAAGTGCAGGCCCACCGCGCAGGAGGGTGCGCGGATCCACGGGCTAAAGCATGATGGTGGGTTGTTAAGGGATTGACTGAAGGCATTGAGAGGGAGGTAAACAATTGGAATCATATGGTTGTTGTGCTGCTGCCAGCCAGGTAGTATATAGGATTCCAAAGACTGGCCAGAGCCGCGTATCCAAGGAAAAACAAAGTTGGTTATAAGCGAACTATTGGTGTATAGGCTTGTGTAAAGGAAGGTGAAAAGGTTAAAACAAGTAGTTATTACGTAGGAAAGGGCGTATGTTGCATCGGGCAGAGATTTGTGAGTTGCAAGCTCATCTATTTGTTTAGGTGTGTAATGTGGAAAGGAGGCCAAAGATGATACGAGCAGAATTATAGCAGCGGCGAGTACAATCAAACGCGAAAAGGCCAGAAATGACAGAGGTGCATACACTACTTGGAGGCCAGATAAGAGGGGCAAACGAGGAGGTGCTGGCCAGCGGCCTCTGTCAAGACGGACATGCACTAGCGTTAAGTTCAGCCACGAAGAAAGGCAGCAATCTGAGGCTTCTGCTGCATGGTGAGAGCGTGCCAAGGGCTGAAAGCTTCCTTGGCTGCCGGGCGATGGGCAGTAGCATGCACGTGGGTGGAGTGCTGGTCGGACTGAATGTGGTCCATGGCGCTGTCGAGGGCAGCACCTCAGGTGAAATCGCAGAGGGTGCACGTCCAGGTTTTGACTTGCTCGTCCAGCCCGATGAAGATGAGGCCGGGGTCGTTGCGGAAAGCGGTCGGCGCAGGTTCCCCAAAATATTGCCTGCGAGAGAGGGAGCATTCAGGGGGAGAAGAGGGGCGCGGGGAGGGCACGGGGGCAAGTATCCAGGTGTAGGGGAGCAGGGGGGGGGTCGGGTGAGGGGCAGGGGGGAGAGGCAAGGGGGAGGTTTGAGGAGGGAAACTCCGTGAAGGAGTTGTGGCTGCGAGGGAAGGGAGGTACAGAGAGGGGGGAGGGGCATCGGGAGGGGACGGGGTTGGGCGAGAGTCCAGCCAGAGGGAGTGAGGAGGTCGAGGGGGTTGATTGTGATCTGTTTGGGTGCGGTGTGGAAGAGAATGGGGGGAGGGGGCTGTTGACAGAGGGGGGGAGTCTCTGGGAGGGCGGTGCAGCCCAGAAATGAGGAGGGTGGCGGCCTGATCCTTGAGAGGGTAGTGAGAAGTGTGACTGAGGGGAGGGGAGGGAGGCGGGTTGGGGGGTAGGAAGAGGGGGGGAGAGGGAGTAGGGCTGGAAGTGCCGGAGAGGGGAAAAGGAGGGAGACGGGACAAATAGGGTGCGAAAGGGGGGATTGTTTGCTGGGAGCAGGGAGGGCGGGTTCCGACAGGGAGGGTTGCCTGCGGGGGGGGGAGGAAGCAGGGGAAAAGTGCGGTAGTGGGTTGGGCTCGTGGGGGAATGGAGGTCCGACCGCGAGGGAGGTGGGGGAGGGGGTGTCATGGGGGGAGTGGGGGGAATGGGAGGGGGAGGTGCGTGCGAGGGTGGGGGGTTGATTGCGGGGAGCGGAGGGGGCAGGGGGGGGTTGGTGGTATGGAGTGAGATTATGGGTGGGCGGAGGCCCGACCAGGAGGTGGCTTGAGGGGGGAATGTCACAGGGGGTGGGGAGGATTTGAGAAGTGGCTGGAGGGGGGTGGTTCGGGGGGGAGAGAAACCTGCTTGGGTTGAGGAGGGAAGAGAGGGGGTGGCGGTGCGGGGTGAGCGGGTGGGTGGGGGAGAGCCGGGCGGCGGGGGGGTGTGGGTAGAGAAAAAGCAAATGGGAGAGGGGGTTGGCAGGAGAGGAGGTCCATAGAGGGGGGGCAGTGGTCTCTGGATGGGTGGTGAGGTGGGGGGTAACGTGGGGAGGGGGCACAAACAGGTTGGTTAGGGGAGTGGCCAGGGCGTGGGCGACCGTGGGGAGCAGGAGAGGAAGGACAGTGGGGGAGGGGGGCGTGAAAGGACATAGGGACATTGGAAGGTGAGCACGGGGGAGGGGGGGGAGCAGGTTTGTTGATGGGCAGGGAAAAGGTGAGTCGCGGGGGGGGGAGAAGGCAGGTTGGAGGGCAAAGGGGGAACGTACAAGGGGAAGAGGGGAGCAAACTGGAAGTGAGGGGTGACAGCAAGAACGAGGGAAGTTGGCAACAAAAGCCGAAAAGGTGTTTTGCGTACCATTTGCCTGCTGCAGTTGCGCGATTGAAATAGTGTTCTGGTTCGTGAGGCGTTGGCGGCGGCGGGTCGCGAACGCGCGGTGGTTGTTGGAGCATAGCACGCACACGTGGCAGGAGAAATTCAGCAACATGGGAGGTTTGTTGACCTCCAGCAGGATTTCGGATGGAATAAGGTCGAAATGCAGGTCGTCGGAGGTGGCGACTGGGAGCCCAGCGAGATGAGTGAAGTAGGTACCCTCGTAGGGGTCAAAGGCGCGGTGGAAGTTGGTCAAATCGGCGAGCCAGTGCGCACCGTCCGGCTCAGTGGACTCCAGGAGGAAGGCACGGATATCCTCTGGTGCGTACTCCATAGGGTCGTTACGGATAGAGAGGGTGGGAGTGCCTGCAACCTTAGCTGCAGTAAACTCCTCGAATCTGTCCACAAACTCCTTCAGCAGAACGGGGCGGGAGTTGGGGAGTTTGAGAGAGAAGGGGAACATCCTGCGGAAGGCAGTTGCGTCCGCCTGCGACGGCCATGAAAACTGCAGGCGGCCGTAGACGCGGAGGGGGTCACCTACGGTCTGCTCGAAAGGTGGGATGGTGCCAGCTTCGAACATGAAACCGCACAGCGTTGCATTGATGCCGGCAAAAATCGCGGTGCGGTGCGCTTCCAGCTCGGCTTCAGGGAGGAGGAGGGACATGACCACGCGGCGGCGCTGAGGAAGCAGCAGGGGGGAAACGACGATCAGACGCGCGCGGCGAAGGTTGGGGGGGGGGGGGGGGGGGGGGTACCCGGGAAGGGCGAGGCGATGGGTGGGCAGCCCAAGGGATGGGTTTGAGCCCGAGGCGACGGATGCGTAGGCAGCAGCGTGGCCTGCCGGGACGTTGGGGGCGCTTGCGATGGCTGTCAGCGAGGGCGACGGGCCACTCGGTGGCGCGCTAGAAGCGGCAGCAGTAGGGGGTGCGGGTGAGCGCGCCTGATACGCTTGGGCCGATTTGGGAGAGGTGGTGACGTTGGTGGAGGGGGGGGAGGGGGAGTGGCTGGCGCCGGCGTCAAAGCACGGTTTTTTGGCGACGGGGAGCTCAGCGGAGTCAGCAAGGTGATCGATCAGGCCTTCGGGCAGATCGTCCACCAGGAGATCTTCTCCGGATGCGACGAGGGCCTCCTCTTCGGCAGCGGACATGGTCTGATCGGAATTGTAAATTTGCTCTGCCATAATGCAAGATGAGAAGGAGAGGCGTGGGGGGGTATAAGTTGTGAAGTGAATGCAAGAAAGAGAAGAGGGACTGTTATATATAGAGCGGGAGAGCAAGGCCACGAGAGGGGAGGAAGGGGCAGGGGGGGTGGCGACCAGCATGAGTTCCTGACGGCCTATGGGCTGTGGGCACAAGGAGCCTAGGAGGCATCGTGGATGGGGGGGTGTGCGGAGAGCGGGCAGGAAAGGGATGAACGGGGATAGCAGGGGGGACAGAGACGTTACGGTAATTACGGAGCCGTGGCGAGGGAGTTAAGGCCATGAAAGTGGGCTGGGAGCCTAGTCGGCTTCCCGAGACCCGGGACCTTACGAGGGTCCAGACGCATGCGAGCGGGAAACGAGCTTCCAAGCCATGTTAATGGCACAGCCGGAGGTGGTCAGGGAGAGAATCGTGGGGTGGCAGCGCCAAACTGGCATGATGTGGGAAAGGAGCTGAAATCGGAGGCGCCACGAGGGTGGCACGGTACAGAGAGGAGGGAGAGTCGAGGAACCGGAGATGGCGGTCCGTGGGAACGAAAAAATTCCGCCTGATAAGGAGGAAAAACCGGGTGAAGTTTAGTCAGCAGCTTGAAGTGAGGGCTGACGAGGCCGGTCTTCGTGATTGTTGTAAGTAGGAGGGGGGTGGTTGGGGGAGGGCGGTCAGTTGGCGCGGGCTTCGGACTTGCACAGGTGAGGGACCTGGGAGAAGGGAAAACGAGAGGAGAAGGGGGGGGGTTAGCGTGGAGGACCGGATGGCGTGGCAGAGGTGCGTTGGCAGGATAACGTGAGGGTTTGTGCAGGGATTTACGGAGAGCAAACGGAGCTTCTGCAGGATCGGGAAAACTTACCTGGCGGGAAAGTTGACCTGGGGTGTTGAAAACGAGAGGTGGGGGACGTTGAGCAGAGAGAAAATCAGCGATTGAGAGTGATGAGTAGGGGGCTAAGAGGGGGTCGAAGTTTAGCTTGGGAGGGGACGAAATGAGGTGTAGGGGAGAGAACACGCAAATCGTTAGAAAAAGGAAAACAAAAAGCGCCGGCGCCCTTCCCTGCGCCAGCGCCCTGCCCTGCGCCGGCGCCCTGCCCTACGCCAGCACCCTGCGCCGGCGCCCTGCCCTGCGCCAGCGCCCTGCCATACGCCCGTGCTGCTACCCTACGCATCGCGCCCTATGGCAGCCCGCGCGTCGCGCGCTGCTGCCCCACGCATCGTGCCCTACGGCAGCCCGCGAGTCGCGCGCTACTGCTCCGTGCGTCGCACTCAGCTGCAGCACACGCGTCGCGCCCTGCTGCAGCACACGCGTCGCACCCTGCTGCCTTGCACAGCGCGCCCCCTACTGCTCACGCTGCCCAGGCCGAGCCGAGCCGCCCTACCCGACCCGATCCGCCCTACTGCTCGTGCTACTACTGCTGCTGGTGGAAGTGCTGCTAGGAGTGCTGGAGGTGACGCAACCTAGCTTCATCGAGCCGCTCGGCTGCTCTTACTGCTGCTACTCCTCGTGCTACTGCCTTCACTCTGTAGTGCCCAAGAGGTTGCGCTCCTCCTAGCTTGCCCGCCATGACTTCACTTTGTAGTAGCGATGGGAGTGGTGACGGCGGTGGTGGTTGCAGTGGGAGTGGTGGCGGCCGTAGTAGCAGTCAGTGTGACGCTGTTTGGTGCGGAGTTTCTGGCGGCGGCCACATGCAGCTACGGCGGCGTCTGACCCTTACGTCCAAACAGCTTCATGAATGGCTTTACCAGCGTGGGACGTCTCCGAGTCCTGGTCACTACCCGTACGTCATTCGCACAGGTCGTCGAGCTGGTCAGACCTGTGGGACACCTGGTCACACACAGTCCCGCCGCTTCGCCTATTTGAGTGATGCCTGGCACGCAGAGTTTGGCGATGAGGCTGAGATCCCCCACTGGCTTGAGCTGCTTAGGTCGGGCGTTGATGTCTTTGCTTTAGACTATGACGCCATCTTTACTGCTATGTATGCTTTCCCTGGTGGTGCTGAGGGTGACTGTTACCGGTGTGTGCAGTACGACCCCGGTATAGAGGTTGCTGCTCAAGGTGCTACAGAGGCTGCTGCCTTACGTGCTAGCGAGTCTGCTCTCTCCGGTACTACGCCTGCTGAGGCCTTGCATACCTTCACGCTTGACTCAGGTGCTTCCCGCTCTTTCTTTCGCGACAGTACCGCACTCACGCCACGCCCTGCACCTGCTGCAGTGTCTCTGGCTGACCCCTCGGAGGCCCACTTCTTGCACGGTCCACCACTGTGCCTCCGTGCCCTGTCAGTTCCGTCTCGCTCACTGTCAGGTCTTCACATCTCCTTGTTCTCTATGAACCTAGTGAGCAACGCAGTCCTCCAGGATGCATGGGTTGATACCTTTACCACTGGAGGACAGCGTGTGGCGATCTGTACGTGCTCCCGGACTAGCCGTCACCTGGCCACGTTCACCCGTCGGCCAGGGTCGAGTCTTTATACACTGACTAATGCGTCCCCTCAGGTAGCTGCTACTGGTCAGGTGTCTACGTCAGGTCAGGTAGCCTCCCCTTGTTCGTGTCGCTCCCTGTCACACCAGACTCTTCTCTTTCACCACCGCCTGGGTCACCTCTCCTTGCCACGTCTCCGTGGCATGCATCGTCGCCTCCTAGTGTTTGGTCTTCCCAGGTCTCTCCCTCCCCTCCCTGCCTCCCCTGTGCCGCCCTGCCTTACTTGTGTCGAGGGGCGGCAGCGCGCCGCTCCTCACTCCTCCTCGTTTCCCCTGACAGAGGCTCCTCTCCAGACCCTCCACTAGGACGTGTGGGGCCCAGACCGCGTTCGTGGACAGGGCGGTGAGCAGTACTTTCTGCTGGTTGTCGACGACTACTCGCGTTACACCACAGTCTTCCCCTTGCGCACCAAGGGTGAGGTCCCTGCTGTCCTGTTCCCTTGGATCCGAGCAATCTGTCTTCAGCTCCGCCGGAGGTTCCGCCAGGACCTTCCTGTCCTGCGTCTGCACTCTGACAGAGGTGGTGAGTTCACCTCCAACCTCTTGCAGGTCTTCTGTCAGGGGGAGGGCATCGAGCAGTCGTTCACGCTTCTGGGCTCACCACGGCAAAATGGGTTTGCTGAGCGCCGCATTGGCTTGGTCGTGAAGATCGGGCGTACCTCCTTGATCCATGTGGCGGCTCCCTATTTTCTGTGGCCGTTTGCGGTTCGGTACGCCACGCAATAGCTCAACCTCTGGCCCCGTGTCTCTTTGCCAAAGACCTCGCCCACACTGCGTTGGACGGGAGAGGTTGGCGATGCGTCGCGTTTCCGAGTCCGGGGTGCTTGTGCCCTTGTCCGCGATACGTCCACGGACAAGCTCTCCTCCCGCACCATTCCCTGTGTCTTCCTTGACTTTGCCCCTGATGCGCGTGGCTGGCAGTTTTACCACCCCACCTCACGTCGTGTCTTCCCCTCTCATGACGTCACCTTTGACGAGTCGGTTCCTTTCTACCGTCTCTTCCCCTACTACACTGCCCCCCTCCCTCCCCTGCCGCTTTTCCTCGCTCCAGGTCCCCCTCCGGTAGACCCCCTCCCCCATTAGGGTCCTGCTCTTTCAGGTGTGTCTGAGGTAGACCCACTCCCCTTGGTTGAGCTTGTAGAGGTCACTAGCGATTCAGGTGCTGCTACGGGTGGTGCTGCTCGAGGAACTGCGTCTGGGGGTGCTGAGCCTATGCGTGAGGTGCTGGGGGGTGCGGAGCCTGGGGGTGCTGAGCCTGCGAGTGCCGAGCCTGGGGGTGCTGAGCCGGAGGGTGTCGGTTCTAGGGGTGCTGAGTCTGGGGGTCTCTTTTCACGATGGGGGCCTCTCTCACCACAGCAGCTACGAGATTGGCTTGCGTGGCATACCCTCTTGCTGGAGGTGGAGGTCCTGCTGCTGGAGGTACTGCAGCTCGAGGTGCTGCGGTTGGAGCTGCTGGAGCTGTTTGTCGTGGAGGCGCTGGGAGTGTTGGTGTTTCTGGTTCTGGAGGTGCTCGTACTGGAGGTACTGGAGCTGCCAGGACGGGTGGTGCTGCTGGAGCTGGAGGTGCTAGTAGTGCTGGCACTAAGAGTCCTGGAGGTGCTCGTCCTGGAGGTACTCGAGTTGTCGGGGTCCGTGGTACTAGAGGCACTGTAGCTGGAGACCGCGCATTGGAGTTCGAGACCTTGGAGGTGGAGGTGCTGGCCCTCGAGGTGCTGGCCCCGGGGGTACGGGTGCTGAGCCTAGGGGTGCTGAGTCTACTAGAGGTCCTCCTGGTGCCGCGTCGCAGCGGTCACCTCTCTCGCCGCAGCAGCTGCGCGAGTGGCTTGGTTCGCGCACCCTCCTTCGGAGTCGCGCTGCTCTAGCTGGAGGCACTGCTGCTGGAGGTGCCGGAGCTGGAGGCACTGGAGCTGGAGGCGCTGGAGCTGGGGACCCTAGAGCTGGAGGTGCCGGTTCTGGGGGTGCTGTTGCTGGGGGAACTGGAGCTGGTTGCCCTGGAGCTAGTGCTGTTGACCTTGGAGTTGGAGACCCTGGATCTAGAGGTGCCAGTTTTGGGGGTGCTATTGCTGAAGGCCCTTGAGATGGAGGTTCTAGAGCAGCTGGAGGCGCTGGAGCTACTGGTGCTCGTCATGGAGGTGCTGGAGCTGCCGGAGCTTGTGGTGCTGCGGGCTTTGGAGCTGGAGGCGCTGGAGCTGGAGGTACTAGAGCTGGAGGCGTTGGAGGTAAAGGCGCTGGAACTAGAGGTTCAGGAGATGGTGGAGGCGCTGGAGCTGCTGGTACTCGTACTGGAGGTGCTGGTGCTGGTGGTACTAGTGCTAGTGGTACTGCACAGCCGCGACTGTTCTTTGCTCCGCCGTCATCGTCGTCTCTGCCATAGCCTGACTCCGCGCTTTGCCAGGTTCTTAGCCTCCCGTCTTCTACTAGTCTCCCGTTACGGCCCGACTCTCCACTACCTGCCCCTTCTCCTTACACTGAGCAGACAAACTCGCTTACAAAGCGCCGTGAGCCTGCGTCTCGT